TTTTTTTTTTTTTTTCTCGACTCTTGATCGAAGATTGTGATCCTCTTATCTTTTTGAAAAACCTTTCACCTTATTTGGCGATACAATGCTTTCAGTTAGAAAGCTGATGAAATTTTACATCGATCGTATTTGTTGAATAAAACAAATTGGATATGGTTTCGAGAGAAATAAAATGGAATTTGGTTATGCCTTTTCGTATTTCTAGTGAACAGCTAAACGAGATCTTTTATTCGAAAATTGAGGTTTACAGCAGTTTGAAATTATATTTAGATATTCATATCTACTAGAAAAATGTTACTAAAGGATTTCACGATCGAAACACATAGTGTGTTGACGAGATTATATTCACGATGTATTGCGTTAAATGTTGATTAAGTCGCGAATATCGCTCGATCAGGAGTGATACTACTACTTACAAGTGTTTGAAAAATTTGCCACCAAATTTGAAATTGACGTTTATCTTTAAAGGAATATCAAGGAGTAACACAGTGCCCGAAAAAATCAATTCTATAAGCTGAAAGTTCCGAAACGACCTCGCACCTTTGTGAACAACGTAACTTCATGAAATGTCACATCTATGGTACAAATTACAATTAATTTACATTAACTTCGCCTAATTATTCTTTAAAAAAAAAAAAAAATCACAAAATGAGTTAATCTTTCGTTTTCAAACTTGTAACTGTTAGCAATTAACTTACATATGTATTTCAGAGGGAAAGAAATGATCAGGCGGAATAGAATTTCGTTTCTACGAAATGATTTGCTCGTTGATATTTTAAAGCAGCATGCGAAGTGCAATTACATGAATTAATTTTTAAGAGTTGGATGATGATATCTTCATGTTACCGAGCAATTTAACTTCTTCCTCTTTCCCTGACTCTTTCAACAGAATTTTTCTTGTCGACGCGCAAATTATAGAGAAACAATCGATCGACTTATTTTAATATCTGATAGGCACAATAAGTGGCTAAGTATAGGTATCCTCTTAATTGCAAGAAATCACACTCGTAGAAATAAATCGTATCTTTTGAAATAGTTCATCACGACTAGAATCCTTAATTGTTAAAATTGGATTAACAGTATAAGATTATTAACACATAACTTTTCATTCAAACTGTAGAAAGTTCAAATTTCACTTTCGACGTTGATATTTCACTTTCCCAGTTTTAAAGGACGATTTTACTTTTTTCTTCTTCTTTTAATTTTAAGGAATAATATTAAATTTGAAATTGCAAAAGCTCTCTATTTTCAATAGAAAATGAATTAAAATTTTCATTTACAATTGAAATTCTTTTTTAAATTGTGCTATATAATTGTTGTTGTATTGTAAATAATCACAGGTGCCTGAGAGGATATTATACTTGAGAATATTTAGAATTATAAAACATGTTAAGCACCTATTTAAACGTGTAATCGTGTACACCGAACAGACGATAATCAATGTCGCGAACAATGTCGCGTCAGATGTTTTTCGTTTCACAGCGAAACTTGGCGAAGAGACGTTGATCGAAGTCGGATTTACGCGATTTATCCTTTTCATTGTCTGCCTTAGCAATTACGAATTATAAAACGAGCCGATTCTCCAAGAATCACTATGAATGTTTCTTTTCCTTTTGTTACAGAGCAATACGTACCTCTATATCGTTTCGCGGGATAATTGTTAAATAACGAATACTAAGATAAATTATAAATCTGTTGTTACGAAAGAGATATATCTATATACTTACATGCATATACATACAAATACACGTACACACAGGCAAACACACATATATACGTATTGTATCATAAATGGATAATTTCAATTTCACATCTCGAAACACGAGGAATTAGGAATTTTATTGTTTGCATAATTTTTCATTTGCATACGCATTTATGCATACGATCATCTTTCGTTATTTAATGAGAAACGGGGGGGAAAAAAAAAAGAAAAGAAAAGAAAAGAAAATATTCGTATGCTGAAGTGTAACGAATGAAAGAAAGAAGATAAGAAATTTCGACGACACGAGTACACACATACACACGTATAATTTAATTTTAAAGAAACGACAAAAGTTAATGGGAATTATATGACGTATACTGACCAGACCAAGCTCAATATTTCTAGAGTCTTTACAAGATGAATAAATCTGTTAAGTGACAAATGACTATTAAATTAAGTAAGGAGATGAAATCTATTAAGAAAACTTGTACATACTAGCTTATAATTTATTTATCTATGAGTGCGAGGGAAAGTGCGAATGAGACGAGACACAAAAAAAAAAAGAGAAAGAAAGAAAGAAAGAGAGAGGATTATATTTAGTGTGCATGATTGAGAGAGAAAGAATGAGAGAAAGAGCAGGAAAACATAAATGAAGGAAGGCAAAGGAAGAGAGGGAGCAAGTGTGAGAAAGAGAAGGAGAGAGGGAGAGAGAGAGAGAGAGAGAGAGCAAAAAGAAAACGAAGGATGCGTAAAAGAAAGAGAAGTTGTGGCAAAACTGTTACGGTGAAAAGCATTTTAGATGCTGATATGTACCTCCTATGCGAATGAAAAGAGTATACAATAAAGTAAACAAATGTTTTCAAACTCTGCGTTCTTTGTGCAGCCCGATAATGACATTTATTTATATTAGCGAGTAGTAAATTTATTTTAATCTTTTATAGGGTAAAAACAGTGTAACATTAAGTACCTATAAATGAATATAATATTATATCGATATAGTCGATTTATAATAATAAATACTAATATTATATTGATACAATATTATTCGACAAAATCGAGCAAAATTTTGCAAAAATTTGATCTTTCAATTTTGTATGACATAACAATTCTAGAAATTCGTTTATATTATTATATAATGATTATTATATATTATTATATAATAATATATTATTATATAATTATATTATTATATATTATTATATGATTATTATATATTATTATATAATGATCACATACCGTTTGGGAAAGTTTCTTGGCTCCAAGGCAGACATATATATCGCACAGATGTTATCCGTTATTTTAACGTGACTTGAAGATGAGAATTCTCTCGACTTCAAGATAGTACAGCTCTCGAGATCCACCGGAAAGCGCATTCGAACAGTGTAATTTATCTTTCGAGCTGGTGTTACCACCGAGGGAAACTATCCCTTAATGTTCAGACATGTAATAACATACATAGTCTACTGTTGATAAATCGAACATATACTTTGAATCAACTTCTTTAATCCAATCAAAATGCACTATTATGTACAAAGTATGTACAAAGTATGTACAAAGTTCCAACAAAAAGACAAAGGCTTTAAAAAAATTATTCTATAAAATTCGATATTAAATGTTTTGTTATAAAGTGATGAACAAGTATTGCATGTATGAAATATGTAAATAGTGACGCATTTTCCATTACAATAGACAGTGTCGTTAAGTATATATATATTTTTTTTTTCTTCATGTGCTAATTCCATATCATTATAGTTATAATAATACGATAAAAAATAATTTTTAATTCCATCAAACCTGATATCAGCAAATAGAATTAATAATATTATAAAGTTCCTGAAAATTTTGTCGAGTTCCAGTTACATTTTTAATTCTTTATGTGAAGCTACTTCTGTTGAATAAATCTTTTGTTTTAAACATTGTTAAATAAATCTTACTCCAAGTAAAAAAAAAAAAATACGCTACCTATTTCATACATACGATATTTGTTACTTTGTAACAAGGCATTTCCCGACAAATTTTGTGTAACATTTTTTTCTTGTTTTAAGTAGATCAAGCAAGATGTAGTTTGGTCATTTAAGTTGGAGACATCCCGTATATTATCACAGTAATTTTCAATAACATTACATACACAAAAATATTTAAAAGTAGTTTCCACTTGGAGACATTAGTTTAGAATATCTTATTATATTAAATTGATCAACGTAAAGGTTATCGTACTAATTAACTCGGAGATTAAAACTTAAATAAAATATCACATAAGAACCGAAAACAAAAGATTTTGTTTCTTATGTACAATTCACATCAGTTGTTTAACGTCAACTGTTGTCAATACGATAAATTTAATTTTTTCTACACGTATTTTAACTTATTTTCAAATTTCTTAACGAAAAACTTCGTTACGCGGTTCCGATGTTAGTTACAACTGACATCTTCGATGTTCAAATCGAGCGCACTCGAAGTTTTCGATATATATCGAATGCGATATACATCGCTCGACTTCGAAGTAGCTACATAACCTTGAAATCATAATAATAACAAAAGCGTCGCGACTGAGATTTGTTATCAAATATTGTGGGTGCTTCAACTCTCGTTTCAGAAAACGCGTTGTTCTGTTGTGATGTGGAATACGTGATTTTGTCTGTAATTTCTCCAGGATGGGCGACATAAGAGCCGGTCTCGAGGAATTAAAGCTTGACGGGGCCCTATTCGCCGATGTTAAATACTACGTCAGCGGCGAAGGTGATCCTAAGGTATGTCATTTTATCGTTTCCCGCGTTTTTCCTTTACCTTTGGCAGTGTCACTGATTTTACACTATTGATATTATTATATTGTAATTGTTAAAAATTGTGATCTGACCGCGATTACTGTAGTGTAATTGCAATTGACACAAAAGAGGTTATAAAATGGAGTCAAATTTAACAGACTGCATTCCTTGAGTGTAAAAATGACAAGAGACTTCTAAAAGGTATCAATTGTGACATTTTTCGACGTAAAATGCCTATTTCATTATAGTAACGTAGTTGAAATTTATCAAAATCTTCAATGTAAAGTAATGTACTTAATCTTTTTTATACAATTTCAGATTTAATGGTTAAGATTAATTAATAACTTTGAGGAATTAGAAATTGACTTCATCGTTTTACATACTTTTACATATATTTTAATCTTGAAGTAAAAATTGTATTATGAATGATTGTACAACAAAGTAAAAAGAATTTTGAAAGTGAAAACAAATATTGTTTTAATTGGTTCCAGATTTTAAATTTACTACAAGAGGGAGGTGCTGAAAGATCAAATTATTTTAGTGATTTTGTTACGCACTTAATAGCTGGTTATGATGCACTGGAAAATGATATATCTGCTGCAAAGGATATCTATGAAATTCCAGCAGTTACGCAGAATTGGATTTTATATTCTGTCAAATGCAATAAACTCTTACCGTATCCTCTAATCTAATTTGTAGTTTATCCTAAAAGTTTTAATTTTTAAATAGTATAAACAATAATTAGTTTAACAGTCAATTCTTTTTTGTTTTTTAAAAGAAAAATATACACATTATTGTAATAAATTTATATATAAAAATTTAATTTCCTTATCAATAATATTAATATAGGCCTCAGTACTTCTCTCCTGAAGATACGCAGTTATTTTCAAATATACGAGCATGTGTGTCTCAGATAAGCCGCGCAGATAGTAAAAGTCTATGGGCAATGATCACACTTCAAGGTGGTAAATGTCAATTACGCTTAGATCGGTATTGTACTCACTTAATTACTGGAAAGGCTGCTGGATTGAAGTATGAAACTGCAATGAGGCATCCTATTCAAATTGTAACTCCAGATTGGGTAACAGAATGTTGTAAAAAAGGAACTATCATAAGTGAAGTGGAATATCATCCAAGACTTTTAATATACCCAAATAGTTCTACGGCCATGATTACTGGCTTTATGGATGAAGATACTGAAAATAATACGGCACAAGAAGAACAAGAGAGAACTAAAGCTATGTTAGAGCAATTGAAACAACGGATGCCTTGGAATCAACCAAGTCCACCAGTATCTTCCAATAATTCTCATAACATAAATACAGCTACAGCAACTGTAACAACAATCCCATATACAACAAATGGACAAAATAATGTTAATCCACAGCAACATCTTCCACGACCAATTCCAACAACAAGTTTATCTAATGCTTCCACAATTGCGTCTTCTGTCTCTGATCAAAATGTTACACAAACTACTTGGTTGCCACAAACTTCTCAACAAAATAATGTAACTCAAATGAAATCAGTACCACCACAAATACAACAACCTGAATTATCACCACAACAACACCAACAACAGCAAATGAATATGCAACATACATTACTACAACAGCAACAACAATTAAATCAACAACAACTTACACATCAACAATTACAGCAACAGCAATATACACAACAACAGCTTTTGAACCAACAGCAATCTCCACAATTAACAACTCAACAACAGCAACAATTGATAGGAACACAGCAGCAATCACTTACACAGCAACCATTGATGTCGCAACAACAACAACAACAACAAATCAATTCTCAACTACCTCAGCATCAAATGTCATCATCTCAATTATTAACACAACAAAAACAATTAAGCCAACATCAAATTCTTTCGCAACAACATTTATCCCAGCAGCAACAACTTACTCCTCAACAGCAATTAGTTCAACAACAACAAGTGCAACTAACACCCCAGCAGCAGCAACAAATAGTTTTACAACAACAGATTCCTACTCAACAACAACAAATTGGAACACAACAGCATCAATTGAACCAGCAACAAGCTCCACCACAACAACTTACATCTGAACAACGTCAACTTATATTATTACAACAACAACAACAACAGCAAAAGATTCAACAAATTTCTCAACAGCTGCAACAGTCTGCACCTCAAAGTTCACAACAATTTGTTATAAGAGATGGTCAATTGCAACAACAACCTCAGAATCAACAATTAATGGGTCCTAATCAACAAGGTTTTATTGTACAAAGAGATTCGCAGTGGCAACAACAACAGTATCATTTACAACTGCAGAGACAGCAACAACAGCAAATTGGCCCACAGAGACCAAGTGGACAATGGAGTCAACAACCACCACAACCACCAAGACAATTAATTCAATTGGATGCCCAAACTCATCAACAGTTGCAACAAATGGACCCACAGCAAAGGGCACAATTTATCCAAAAAATTCAGAAACAAAGAAATTTATTACTACAGAGGCAAATGCAAAATCGTCAAGCGCAACAAGGCGCGCATATCGCCGTCATAAGAAGTCCAGGAAAGCCGGTTCAACCTGGTGGTTTACAGTGGATCCAGCAACAGCGTCCTCAGATGATAGGTCCTCAAATTGCACAAACACCTGGTCAAAAACCAGTGCATTCTGGAGTTCAACCACCAGCTTTAACACCAATTAATTCTTCCAACCAAGTGATCGTGCAAGCCAGTCAAAATGTGCAAGGTCCACAAGCTGCTCAACCTGGTCAAACATTCCAACAAGGTCAAGCTTTAACTCCTCAACATATAGCGCAATTACATATGCAAAAACAGCAACAAA